AGTGTCTTTATTAGTAAGATATGTTATGTATGAAGATATTAGTGTCTTTATTAGTAAGATTTGTTATGTATGAAGATATATTCTTTATTACATAGACCTACATGTATAATAACCCTTTAGTCAGTTTTAGGTTGTGGAGAAAGTCAAGACACAAACCTACATGTATAATAACCCTTTAGTCAGTTTTAGGTTGTGGAGAAAGTCAAGACACAGACCTACATGTATAATAACCCTCTAGTCAGTTTTAGGTTACGGAGAAAGTCAAGACACAGACTTGCATGACTTACAAGACTTACATGTATAATAACCCTCTAGTCAGTTTTAGGTTACGGAGAAAGTCAAGACACAGACTTACATGACTTACAAGACTTACATGTATAATAACTTTTTAGTCAGTTTTAGGTTATGGAGAAAGTCAAGACACAAACTTACATGTATAATAACCCTCTAGTCAATTTTAGGTTACGTAGAAAGTCAAGACACAAACCTACATGTATAATAACCCTCTAGTCAGTTTTAGGTTACGGAGAAAGTCAAGACACAAACCTACATGTATAATAACCCTCTAGTTAGTTTTAGGTTACGGTGAAAGTCAAGACACAGACTTACATGTATAATAACCCTCTAGTCAGTTTTAGGTTACAGAGAAAGTCAAGACACAGACGTACATGGATAATAACCCTTTAGTCAGTTTTAGGTTACGGAGAAAGTCAAGACACAGATAGAAAGTTAATACCTACTCTAGAACTCATCATTTTTGAGTTGATATTGAAGAAAGTGAACTAATCATTAATTCAGTTTTGGGTTTGTTTTAGAGAAACTAATGACAGAGAACTAAACATATAATCATATTACTATTAACATACCAGCCATAGCCTCGTAAGACATATGCTTAGCCATTAATCCAAAATTCAATTGACCACAGCAACATGTAACCTGAACAGGAATTCTGTAACCTCTAAACAGGAGAACATGGGATTTTCTTTTGTATAAAATGGTAGAGTTATAATGGGTTGAAAACCATACAAGTTATTTTTTTGTAGCATGTGAATAATGTCTCATTCAATAGTGTAGTTCTGAAGCATTTTGTGATAGATACATCAGAACATTATTTTGAATTAATATCTTGTGGTTTCTGTACTCTTAGAAAATTTAAGCCAGTGGACAGTAATAGAGAATGGAGGTGATAAGTGGCTGGTAGAAAAAGAAGCTGTAGGAGTTGATCCATTTCCAGAAGATGGTAATAAACAGTAACGATAAATTGTTAACGTTAGAAGGTTAAAGAGAGTTACTCAATTAATTTTAAAGAAAGTTATCAATCAGTTTTAAAGAAAGTTACTCAGTCAGTTTTAAAGAGAGTTACTAAATCAGTTTTAAAGAGAGTTACTCATTCAGTTTTAAATAGAGTTACTCAATTAGTTTTAAATAGAGTTACTCAATTAGTTTTAAAGAGAGTTACTCAATTAGTTTTAAAGAGAGTTACTCAATTAGTTTTAAATAGAGTTACTCATTCAGTTTTAAAGAGAGTTACTAAATCGGTTTTAAAGAGAGTTACTCAATCGGATTTAAAGAGAGTTACTCAATCAGATTTAAAGAGAGTTACTCAAATCGGTTTTAAAGAGAGTTACTCAATCGGTTTTAAAGAGAGTTACTCAATCGGTTTTAAAGAAAGTTACTAAATCAGTTTTAAAGAGAGTTACTCAATCAGTTTTAAAGAGAGTTACTAAATCAGTTTTAAAGAGAGTTACTAAATCAGTTTTACAAGCTACTGCGTTTTATTCAGTTAAACCTAATAAAGAGTAGTTACTTGAAATTTTGCTTCAGTAAACTGGTTTTACATCAACATTGTGTCAGTACAACTTTCTTATGAACATCTAGGCCTCAAACTGTATTTGCTATAATCAATTACCTATGAGGATCTGTTACTTTGATTAATATCACATAAAACAATCAATTAATTGAAATTAGTGTTTTTGATTATTCCAATTATCCAGTAATTGAAATATTGCCAGTATGATTTTTCACTATCAGTTTGAATTAATTCAAGTTTGTTCAGCTTAATCAATTAATTTCACTACTTAAGAAAACAAGCAACTGATTAAAACTAGGGTTTTTCAATTACTACTATTTTTACGATGAAAGGAAGGACTTTGTCGTAATTAAAAGTAAACTAGATAATTCGGATAAACAGAGTAAAATTTAATGAAAATACATCGTTTCACCAGGTTAACCTGGCATCATCAGATACATCAACTACAATGAATGAATTGAAACTACAAATATATATAATACAGCATAAGGGTACATTGAACTTTGATTGAGTAAATTTAACAGTAAGGTATTTCCGGAGGGTGTTTATTGATAGGGCTTGACTTCTTGAGGGTCAATGTCCGTAATCAACAAAATAGGAAAATATAAGTACTCTTTCAAAAATATATAAAATATTATAACTATTATACTACTGTTTTTGATTATTTCAACTAACCAAGTAAATAAGTTATTTCTATTATGTTTGTTTGTTGTTAAGAGAAAAAATGTTCAAGGGGTATCTGTGCTATGCCCATCATGGGCATCAAAACCCAAATTGTAGAGTTACAAATAATTTTTTAGCTATCTCATGAGAGTATTTGACTTTTGATTATATGAGTGTAAACTATTAACGAGTCTAATGATTAATCATTTAGCACTAATCACTTAGATGTGGTAACACAAATGTTAGTAGCTTCTAAAGAGTAGTATTTCATAATATGTTCAATTCCTCTAGAAATTTTGATTAATTCTATTATTCAGGCTTGTGTGCAAGTGAAATTTAGTTTCAAAAATAAATATATATCACAATATTTTCTCCCTGAACAGGTATAAAAACACAATATTTTCTCCCTGAACAGGTATAAAAACACGATATTTTCTCCCTGAACAGATATAAAAGCACAATATTTTCTCCCTGACTGGTATAAAAACACAATATTTTCTCCCTGAACAGATATAAAAAACATAATATTTACTCCCTGAACAGGTATAAAAACATAATATTTTCTCACTGAACAGGTTTAAAAACACGATATTTTCTCCCTGAACAGGTATAAAAACACGATATTTTCTCCCTGAAGAGGTATAAAAAACACAATATTTTCTCCCTGAACAGGTATAAAAACACTATATTTTCTCCCTGAACAGGTATAAAAACACAATATTTTCTCCTTGAACAGGTATAAAAACATAATATTTACTCCCTGAACAGGTATAAAAACATAATATTTTCTCACTGAACAGGTATAAAAACACAATATTTTCTCCCTGAACAGGTATAAAAACATGTTTTTCAACTTCCTATATGAATTGTTCGAAATCCCAGTTGATTGATCTCTCTCGGGAAGGTGTACCTCAAGAGGTGATGGACAATGCTCGACCCAAAATCGAAGTATCTGAGTGGTAAGTTGCCTTTTCATTGTGTTTAACATACTTAGAACACGAAGTTTCTTTTTACCATTTTCTTATCAGTTTCATCATGTACTAGTGACAGATCAATAATATAGTTCAATAAAACTCAACATTATATATAAGCACATAGAGCAGAATGCTTAACCCCTGATAAATTCTTTAGTAAAACTTGACTAATTACCTTCAGGACACAGTGTCAATTAGGGTTAGGAATGATCTGTACGAAGCTTGTCTGGTAGTGTATTCTTTAGTAAAACCTGTCTAAATAACTACAGAACACAGTCGGTTAGGGTTTGGAATGATCTGTATGAAGCTTGTCCAGTAATGTATTCTTTAGTAAAATCTGACTAATTAACTGCAGGACACAATGTCAGTCAGGATTAGGAATTATCTGTAGGAAGCTTGTCTGGTGACATATTCTATACATAAGTTCTCCCTCTGCACTTAAAAGTTTCCCCTCTATATAAAAGTTCTCCCTCTGCACTTAAAAGTATTTCCTCTTGATACAAAAGTTCTCCCTCTACACTTAAAAGTGTTGCCCTTCTGCTTCCTAACCACCCTGCTCCCACTTTTACTGGCTGTTATGTAGACACTATATCACTAATTGCTTCAAATTCTCCTCGATTCCACAGTTGATCTCAGCTATAGCAACAAATATTTTACCCCCAAGAAACACTGCAAAATATCCAACAAGCTGTTTCACCTTGTTTTTGAGTTAAGTTTCAACATAAGTAGCATACCTTGTTCGCTTCTAATATATTTCCGTAGATTTTCATTTTTCAGCAGAGATTTTCTCACAATTTTTCTAACCTTATTAATGACGTCGAGATATGTGTATCGCTACGTTCATCTCCACCAACTGAATCAACAAATTTGTTAGCATCCATTACCAAATTGCCGTATCAATCACTGTGTTAAATTCTTCATCTTCTGCCTGTTTTAATTCAAGCACAGATGATCCACCAGACTTTGATCTCTAATAATGGGTCACTCTTCTTGTACGAAACATGCAGCTGAGTGGATTCCCCGAGTGTAACATGTGATGATGAGTCTCACGTTGACTGTTAACTAACCTTCCAAATTTAACTAATACACTGTAACACATTTTACTATGTCTGTTTTTTAATGAAACATTAAATTCAGCTAATTTATTTTCTACAGCCTCAATATAGCAATTTTCACAGGCATAGAACCAAAAATCCTCACCATTCCTAAATGCCAAAATTTATCACTTGCATGTACATCAATATTCAGGTACTGTGATTTTTTAGTGATGTATACTCGTTAAGAGACAGACTAAATCTGGACCCTCTGCTTAACCTTGTGTTAGTTTCCGTATTTATTACAAGGAAATATAAAATTGTGTTTTACAATTTCTACTCAGGCTATTAGAAGAATAACACATTCTGTATAATCAATAATAATAATGAAAATATATTAGCTTACCCACCTGTAATGATAAAGAGCATTAAAAAAAAAACTGAAAATCAGTCAGTTGTTTCTCACCCTTGACCAATTTTAGCCAATTTCTAAAAACAGCTAAGTATCTTACATAGGAACCAGCAGGTACACATAAAAAGATTAGAAATAATGTTTTTAGAATGTTTTGTAACAACCAGAAACCCCTGAATCTGGGGCACATGTTCTCAGCTTTCAGTTTATCATTTACCACCCTTGAACCTGGTTGAGAAAACTAGCATGACATGGATGTTTGAGGCTAAGCAATATATAATTAGATGTACTTATTCATATATTCACACAAACATTATTCTGTCTTTAACATGAGATAGTTATACAAAAGTAAAGTATATATAATTAGATGTATCTACTAACACACAAACATTATTCTATCATTAGCATGACATGGATGATTGAGGCTAAAGTATATATAATTAGATGTATGTATTCACACAAACATTATTCTGTCTTTAACATGAGATAGATGTACAAGAGTAAAGTATATATAATTAGAGTATGTATTCACACAAACATTATTCTGTCTTTAACATGCGATAGATGTACAAGACTAAAGTATATATAATTAGATGTATGTATTCACACAAACATTATTCTGTCTTTAACATGAGATAGATGTACAAGAGTAAAGTATATATAATTAGATGTATGTATTCACACAAACATTATTCTGTCTTTAACATGCGATAGATGTACAAGAGTAAAGTATATATAATTGGATGTATGTATTCACACAAACATTATTCTGTCTTTAACATGCGATAGATGTACAAGAGTAAAGTATATATAAATACAAGAGTGTCTAGGTGTTCATGTAGACACATATCTGTATGTTAGTTAAATAATTTCTAAAGCAGTATGTTCTAGACTCAATAGAATAAAATATAAATGTCTAAACAATACCATATGTGTTCACTGATGAAAGATCAACTTACAATTTTAAAGAGTTAATCAATATTGTGAGTGTTAACTGCACCTTCAAGCTCTGAATACAGCTGGTTTAGTAAAATTTTGACAGTAGAATAAAAATGAACAAAATGTTTTGGATGTAATTCTCTTCTAAAATGGAAGGAACGTAATTAAAAATAGGGGGACATTTAGATCACATTCTGACTTGTGTGCCTGTCTTTCACTTTTTAAAAAGTTACTTTTTCAGGTATGCAGCAAGGTTTGACTGTGGAAGTACATATGAATTGACGGTGAGGTTGCTAGATAAAAACTACGAACCACAAGATGAGTTTCATTATGGACCTCAGGAAGTGGCACAGTGGCAAGGTCGTCAGTGGATTCAGGTATGAAGTTCTGTTATATTTTTATAATATCATGTAATATAATGCCTACACATATGTTATATCCTTAGTTTAATTGTCATATATGTGTATAGTGTTTTGAAACAAGTTGATATTTTGCTTAATGATATATATGTATAAACAAATATTAAGAAAACTTAAAATTAGGTGATTATTGTACTTTCTTATTATAGACTTCTTAAGTGCTTAGATTAAGATTCTGTATGCTAGAAAAACTAGGTCAAAGTTTTCTGAATGTTTTAGTAGAAAAATTCTACACTTTCAATGAAATCTCAACACAATTTTTTAAAGAAACTCTCTCTGATGTTTAATGTTGTTCAACTTCTTTTTTTTTTTTTCTGAATCCCAGTTAAACTATGGACCCAAGTAGTAAAAGTCTGTTAAACTATATCCTCAACAATTCATCTGTATTTAAACTGTCTCCTCTACAATTCAGGTGTATTAGTTCAATAGAACTATCAGAAACCAAACTATTATCACTGGAAAATATATTTCTTTTCAATTGATCATTTTATCGGTTTCGAAGTGAAATACACATCTAATGGTGTGAGGATAATGCTTTGACATGGTGTTCACATTGTTGCTTAACCCAAATGAACTGGACACTGTAGACTAATACATATGAATTCACTTTGCAAGTTTAACATGAAATCTCTGTTCCTACATAGATATCTCTTTAAAAAGTAAAATAGCTTTTATAACTTGATGCTTCTGTTTTATTATAAACTTTTGATAACTTGATGTATAATAAAACAGAACAACTTTTGATAACTTGATGTATAA